TTCGAAAACAAATATTTAATGTGATATTTTTGCGCATTTAGATAATTGTTGTATTTCTTATTCTGTTTGTTGTTGTTTTCTTCGTGGTTTTAAATCACAACCTAGATTACGTAGAGATAACTACATCAAGGATTAGACAATGTAACATAAATCAGAACAGTTTGGGAAACTAATAAATATTGAAGGATAAACGAATAAATATATATGTAACAAACATGCAATAACTCAATTTATTAATACATTTAGTTGGAGTTATTTTATAAACTTTGTTATAGTCATAGAGTCCATTTTCATCCGTTTACTGGCTTAATTATAACTCAATACCTGTTTCGCCACTTTTTATAACAGTTGAGTTTTATAATTCGAAGGTAAATTCCAAAATGTAATTTTTCATGAATTCTTGATCCACAATTGTCCAACTTCGCAATACCCAGCAAACAATGATGGCTGTATTAGACAAATACACAAAAGTCAATAAAAATTAAAAAATTACCTATGAAAGATGAACATATTTTAATAGTAACAGTTTCCTGCACCTTCTGAAATGGAGGTAGAAGAGAAAGAGAGCACAAATTAAGATGGCACTCTCTTTAAAAACTATTTTCCGGAAATTTCAATAAGTAACAAAAAGCTGTATTATTAGGTCAATGATGTCCTAACTAAATTAGACCTCCGAAAAAAACTGGCTCGGTTTTGCACAAAGAGTGAGAGTGAAACTGAGCCTCCACCAACTGAATTATATGCTGAGTAGACTGATAAAAAATATCAATTTTTTATATTTAAGATATTTTCTATATCTTAACCGATTTTCTCCGAATTCAATGTACTTGCTTCTAGACTGAATTCGGTGGGATGTACCAAAATTCAGGTCATTTGAACTGATATTGGCTATTTTCTACACAATTACAACGAAATCGGTTGAAGATATATATGGTAGCTATAGCTCTATCTGAACCGATCTTGACAAAATTTGATACACTTATTTCAGAGCTGTATCTGATATCTGGTACCAAACATCATTACGAATGTGAGGGACTTATACACAAAATCGGATGAATGATATGTATGGGAGCTATAGCTCTATTTGAACCGATTTTCTCCAAATTCGATGTACTTGCTTCTAGACTGAATTTGGACGGATGTACCAATATTTAGGTCATTTGGACTGATATTGGTTATTTTCTGCACAATTAACAGGAAATCGGTTGAAGATATATATGGGAGCTATATCAAAATCTGAACCGATCTTGACAAAATTTCATACACTTATTTCAGAGCTGTATCTGATATCTGGTACCAAAAATCATTGTTGAGGAATGCATATTACGCTTGTGAGGGACTTTAAACCCCAAATCGGATAAAACATATACCCGGGAGCTATAGCTATACCTGAACCGATTTTCTCCAAATTTGATGCATTTGCTTCTAGACTGAATTTGGACGGATGTACCAAAATTCATGTCATTTGGACTGATCTTGGTTATTTTCTGCACAATTAACAGGAAATCGGTTGAAGATATATATGGGAGCTATATCAAAATCTGAACCGATCTTGACAAAATTTCATACACTTATTTCAGAGCTGTATCTGATATCTGGTACCAAATATCATTGTTGTCGAATGCATATTACGCTTGTGAGAGACTTTAGGCCCCAAATCGGATAATACATATACATGGGAGCTACAGCTATATCTGAACCGATTTTCTCCAAATTTAATGTACTTGCTTCTAGACTGAATTCGGTGGGATGTACCAAAATTCTGGACTTTTGGACAGATATTGACTATTTGGTGCACAATTAATACGAAATCGTTTGAAGATATATATGGGAGCTATATCTAAATCTGAACTGATCTTGACAAAATTTAATACACTTATTTCAGAGCTGTATCTGATGTCTGGTACCAAAAATCATTGTTGGGGAATGCATATTACGAATGTGAGGGACTTATTCAACGATTCGGATGAAAGATATACAGTAGCGTGCAAAACCGATCACATGTTTTGCAAATTTGGCAGTTAAGCTGTGTAACAATATTTAAAGTCAATCAAATTAAATGAAACTTATGTTATATTTTATTTAATTCATTATAATAATATTAAGGCTGAAATCAACTTAAAGTGTATACATATTCGGGATAATTTATTATAAACATAAGAGGAACTCCATGTGCTCAGTTTTGCACGTTTCGCATATATTCGTTGTTTTCCAAATTCTTAGTATTTTGTCCATAACCCTTTATTTTTTATGACACCTTTCATACGTTTGGGCATACTTTCCACTAAATTTTGGATAAAATTGTCAGGAATTTGTCCCCATTCAAATTGTACACGCCGCCAGAGTTCATCCATATTCTCAGGAGCTCTCTTGTATTTTCCAAGTCTTTTTTTCAAAATGGACCACAAATTCTCAATTGGATTGAGATCGGGTGATTGTGCGGGCCACTCCATAAGCTTAAATGTTTGTTGGGAAAACCACTCTTTTACTATTTTGGCGGTGTGTTTCGGGTCTCCATCCTGTTGGAAAATGACTTGCTCCTCCGAGTATGGACTGGATTGTACGAAGTCTGGTAAATTTGACTTCAAAATATCCAGGTAGTCCTCCTTCTTCATTATCCCACTTATTTTAACAATTGGTCCAATATTATGCCATGTAAAACAGCCCCACACCATCAAACTACCTCCACCATGTTTCACTGTTTGTTTCACGTGATGCCTTTGGATGGTTTCTTTGGGACGACGCCAGTAGTAACTTATTCCGTCTGATTGAAATCGGTTTATTTTTACTTCGTCCGACCAAATGACTCGCCTCCAATCCTCAACACTCCAATTCACATGTTTCTTGCAGAATGCTAAACGAGCTTTAACATTTTTAGCGGATAAAGCCGGTTTCTTCTTCTTTACTGCTGATAGCAATCCAATTCTATGCAACGCTCTACGGGCGGTCCACTCGCTTACATTCTTATTTAATGCATCTGCAGCTTGTTTAGGTGTTATGGAACTATCTTTTCTCATTTCTCGTTCCATTAAGCGGGCATCCGCGTCAGAAAGTTGTCTCGGTCGACCTCCAACATTTGGCGCTCGCACAATATTTTTTCTTTTCTGGACTTTAACTACAGTGCTTTGACCAATATTCAATTTTTCGGCTATTTCTCTGGTAGAATGCCCTTTTTCCGTTAACACCACGACACTATTTTCTAGTTCTACGCTAAGTTTTTTCATTTTTTATTAAATGATAATTTTATTAAATCGATCACTTTCAACACGTGTTAAGAACTAATATCAAAGTAAAATACCAAACTAAGATAAAGAGTAAAAACCAATGAGAGATCAACAAAAGCATGAGAGACCAATAACGGTAAATATTTGTTTACATTTCTACATTAACTTTCTGCTTTTTGAATAAATGCGAAACGTGCAAAACTGAACATATGTGATGTCTCTCATGTTTATTACATAGTATCCTGCACAACCTGGTTATACTAAATAGTGTTGTATGCCATTTGTTTTGTTTTGTTTCTAGTAATGAATCAACAAAGTTTCATTTCATTTAATTGCGTACAAATATTTTTACAGAGCTTAATATCTAAAACCGCAGAAGGTGTGATCGGTTTTGCACGCTACTGTATATGGGAGCTATAGCTCTATCTGAAACGAATTTCTCCAAATTTGATGCATTTGCTTCTAGACTGAATTCAGTGGGATGTACCAAAATTCTGGTCTTTTGGACAGATATTGACTATTTGGAGCACAAATAACTCGAAATCGGTTGAGGCTGTATCTAAATCTGATCCGATTATCACCAATTTCAATAGGGTTCGTTATTGGGCCAAACAAATATTATTTGGACCTCACAAGATACATGGACAGATGGACGGACGGATGGGCTGACATGTATAAATCTACTCAGAAAGTGATTCCATGAAGATCCGCAAAAGTAACTATGGTTTTATCTCGCTTCCATGTTACAAACAAATGTACAAAGGTATAGTACCCCTACCACTATGTCGTGTAGGGTACAAAAAGGTTTTTTTAACCATTTTATACTCTCCACCTTGAAAAGGAGGGGATATAAACTTTGTCATTCCGTTTGTGGCATGCCAAAATATTCGTCGTAGACCCATAAAATATATATATCCATAATCAGCATAAAATTCTAAGCCGATTTAACGGTGTCCGTTTGTCTGTCCGTCTTACATAGAATCATATAAACTGACTACAACATATATCAATTGTCGAATTTTCCAACTTCCATTTATTATAAACAAAAATTAATATATATACATATATTGTACATACAAACCATTTAAAAAAACTGATGACAAACAAAACCATGCAATTTATGCTAAAACGCACATACATTCCCATTAAAGAAAACAAACGAAAATAAATATAATTTCCTTTTAAAATAATTTTTATTTTATTAAAAATAATTTTTATTTTATTAAAAAATAATGTTTCATTTGTTAAAATAAAATTTAAAATTTTACGTTTGTTTTGTTTTTCTTCTTTCCTTTTTTAATTTATAGATAAAAATATATGAATAGGAGGACAAATAAAAAACGGTATTACAATAAAACATATGTGTGTATGTGTAACTTTATTTTTTGTAATTAATTAAAATTGTTAATAACATTACATTTTGCAACGAATGATGGGATGTTTCAAAAACATTTAACGTTTTGAGTTTTTTTTTTATAATTTTGAAGAGCAAAAGACAGTAGTTAACAGAGAACTAGAAGGGGGAGGGGGAGGAGAGAGAGGACTATTTTTCTCATGGCCATGGTTAGGGATGGTTGTGGTAATTTGGGTGTGTTCAGTGCCCCCTTGGGGCTCAGGGCTCTTCCTGGGCGGAGTTAAGATTTTTTTTAATTTTTTTTGTTGGATATACCAATATTTCTTTGTATATATGTGTTTGCAGAGAGTATACATGTGTATAATAATATTAGGGTGGACCTTCGTTACATTAAAAATTTAATGACTCTTTTTTTGTTTCTGTTTTTTATTTGAATGTTTTGTTTTTATTTTTTTTTCTTTTTGTTAAAAATAGTAATAATTATTTCTTTGACATTTAAATTTGTATTGACTTGACTTGTATGACTTCGTTAAAGTTCCTTTCTTATTTTGTTTATTTATTATATGTATGTGTTTGTGTTATGTTATTACTTAACCTCAAAGTTTAGTTTTTTTTTCACAGTGCACAGACATCTATTTATTAATTTTAATATGGTTACTTTGTTGTTGTTTTCTTTTTTTCTTCTCAGTTGTTGTATATGAAATAGTTGCGTATATTTCCACTTTAGATTTTTGTTTTCTTTATTTGTAAAATATTTATTTATTTATATATGACATAAAAATGCTGTTGTATTCAAAATACATTTACGTTCTAAAATATTTTCACATTTCCGTTTCTTTTGTTTTTTTTTTTCTAAAACTTGTTTTGTGTTCCTCTACTTTATTTTAAAAAATAATTTCTTTTGTTTCTCTCTTTCATGTTTTTTTTTTCAATGTTTAACAAAACAAAAAATATCGTTTCATTTTTTTTTCTATAAAAATTATGTGTATGTGTATATATATAGGTATATGTATATAGTAATAATTAATAAGTAATGGTTTTTAGTTGTTATTTTTGTTTTCGTTCAATAAAGTATTGACTCGAAGTCCGTAAAATTTATGTTGTCACTGAAATAAAAGGAAAAAAATAAATAAATAAAAACAATTAATAAAATAAAAATATTAAAAATTTGGTAGAACAACAAATAAACAAAAACACATTAAAACTAACAACAATAACAACAAACAAGCAAATATTTTACATTTTAAGGGGAAATTTTGAACAGAAAATCTTCGAATGCAATTTTGAATTAAAAAAAATTTGATATTTATCCATGTTGTGGATAACATTTATCCACGTTAAAGATAATATTCCAAAACCTGGATAAGGATTATCCACAACGTGGATAAAAATTATCCACAACGTGGATAAAGTTTGTCCTCATCGTGGATAAATGTTATCCACAACGTCAATAAATATTATCCACAATGTGGATAAATATTATCCACTATGTGGTTTAGTTTTATCCACAACGTGGATAAATATTATCCACAACGTGGATAAACATTATTTACAATGTGGATAAATATTATCCACTATGTGGATTAGTTTTGTCCACAACGTGGATAAATATTATCCACAACGTAGATAAATATTATCCACTATGTGGATAAATTTTATCCACAACATGGATAAAAACTATTCACAACCTGGATAAATTTTTTCCACAACGTGGATAAATATTATCCACAATTTGGATAAATATTATCCACAATTTGGATAAATATTATCCACAATGTGGATAAATATTATCCACAATGTGGATAAAATTTATAAAATGTGGATAAATATTATCCACAACATGGATAAAAATTATCCACAACATGGATAAAAATTATCCACAACATGGATAAAAATTATCCACAACGTGGATAAATATTATCCACAACGTGGATAAATATTATCCATAATGTGGATAAATATTATCCACAATGTGGATAAATATTATCCACAATATGGATAAAATTTATGAAATGTGGATAAATTTTATCCACAACATGGATAAAAATTATCCACAACATGGATAAAAATTATCCACAACATGGATAAATATTATCCACAACATGGATAAATATTATCAACAACGTGGATAAATATTATCCACAACGTGGATAAATATTATCCACAACGTGGATAAATATTATCCACAACGTGGATAAATATTATCCACAACGTCGATAAATATTATCTACAACGTGGATAAAAATTATCCACAACATGGATAAATATTATCCACAACATGGATAAATATTATTCACAACGTGGATAAATATTATCCACGACGTGGATAAATATTATCCACAACGTGGATAAATATTATCCATAATGTGGATAAATATTATCCACAATGTGGATAAATATTATCCACAATATGGATAAAATTTATGAAATGTGGATAAATTTTATCCACAACATGGATAAAAATTATCCACAACATGGATAAATATTATCCACAACATGGATAAATATTATCCACAACGTGGATAAATATTATCCACAACGTGGATAAATATTATCCACAACGTGGATAAATATTATCCACAATGTGGATAAAATTTATAAAATGTGGATAAATATTATCCACAACGTGGATAAAGATTATCCACAAAGTGGATAAAGATTATCCACCATGTGAGTAAATATTATCCACAACATGGATAAAAATTATCCACAAATATGGATAAATTTTTTCCACAACATGGATAAATATCCACAAAATTTTTTCCACAACGTGGATAAATATTATCCACAATGTGGATAAATATTATACACAATGTGAATAAATATTATCCACAATGTGGATAAATATTATCCGCAACGTGGATAAATATTATCCACAACGTGGATAAATATTATCCACAATGTGAATAAATGTTATCCACAATGTGGATAAAATTTATCCACAACATGAATAAAAATTATCCATAACAAGGATAAAAATTATCCACAACATGGATAAAAATTATCCACAAAATGGATAAAAATTATCCACAATGTGGATAATTTTTTTCCACAGCGTGGATAAATATCCACAAAATTTTTTCCAAAACGTGGATAAATATTATCCACTATGTGGATAAAATTTATAAAATGTGGATAAATCCTATCCATAACGTGGATAAATCCTATCCACAACGTGGATAAATCCTATCCACAATGTGGATAAATCCTATCCACAACGTGGATAAATTTTATACTCAACGTGGATAAAGTCTGTCCTCATCGTGGATAAATGTTATCCACAATGTGGATTAAATATTATCCACAACGTGGTTAAATATTATCCACTATGTTGATAAATTTTATCCACAACGAGGGATAAATTTTATCCAAAAGATGGATAAATATTCTGCATATATATTGCAATGCACCTTTGTTTTAAGATTTATAGTATTGAGTCAAAATGTTTTTCATGTTGCAGGTCAAGTGAAATTTCAAAACTGTTCAAAATTCCCCCTAAAAAATACTCTTTTTTATTTCTATATACAAAATTTTTGAACTAAGAATAAATAACAAAAAACACCATGCAATTTGAAAGCGTGCAAAATTTAACAGAAAGCTACGTCAGTTTTCAGATTTTATCCAAAAATTTATGATTTCAAAATGAATGTTGGGTTGGATGCATTTCGGAAAAATAAAAAAAAGAAATGACACAAAAAAATGCAATGTGGGAAATTTTCAATTTTAGTTTTCAATATTTTATTTTAACGTAGAAACAACAAACATGCATCGTCACTTAGTTGGAAATTGGAAATTGAATTACCATTAATTGTGTCTAGTAAATAGTTTCTCGTTTTAAATTTACCTAATTTTTTGTTTGTGTTCTATATATATTTGAGCTAAGAGTTTAGTTTCGTTTTGCTTTGTAATAAGATTTTCCTTAAATTTAAAAATATTTCATTACGCCTCTTAAGTTTTTTGTATAATAAAATTAGTTTTCTCTGAAATTTGACTAATTTTAATTTTTTTCTATTATTTAATAATTTTTTTCGCTGCTCATTTTTTATTCTTGGATAAAATTTAAAGATGCATGATGGTGCTGTTTTGCAAGCTGTTTTTTTTAAATGGAAATTATGTTGTTAACAATTTCATGGTTTTATTGCAGAATTTGTGGTTAATATGTGGCAGGTGGCGTTAGGAAAAATGAAAATAAATTTTATTTATTAGATTTTGTTTATTTTTCTTTTTGGTGAAAGATGTGTGTTTTCACAAAATGATAGAAAAGATGAAAATGGCGAGTGGGTGAAGAGTGTGAAATGTTGGGGTGTATGTGTGACTTGCTTGTGTATTCGAAAAAGTTTTTTCAAAAAAAAAAAAAAAAAAAAAAAAAAAAACAGAAAAATACTAACAATACTTTGAATTATTTAAACGTTTAGCCAGAAATCAAATTGGAAAATTTTCCTCCATATAGCTTGGGAATAAAAATAATTTTTCACCTTGGAGTGAAACGAAACCTATAGTAGTAGCTCACTTCAGTTAAGTACAATTCTGAAATTTTCAGGATCCTTAAAGTTTTAGGGAGCGACGAGGAAGCCACTGCATGATTATAAATTTAGCGACAAAAATTTGAAAAAATGTGTTTTTTTTTTCTCAAAAATTTGAACTTATTTTACATTTTTGGTGGACAATAAACGTGAAATCGGGTGAAGATATATATGGGAGCTATAACAGAATCTGAACTGATCTCTATAAATTGTAGCAAAAATATTTTTATGCCGTATCTGAAAGCTGACACCAAATACCGTTCTGTGCATTTTAGGAATGTGAGGGACTTAAATGCAAAATGGAATGAATCTGTATCTGAACAGATTTTCACCAAATTTGATGCACTTTCTTAAAATGAAAAGCTATTGGTTATTGAATTAAAATAAAAAAAAAATTAGAGCGAATTCTTAAAAAGGTCTAAATTTTTCGAATATAAAATATTTTTTTATAAACTAACATTTATGATATTTTTATGGCATGTATTAGGTATACAAACTTCTTCTGTTCAGAGACTTACAACGAAATCTGGTCTTAAATATTTATTTCTTTAAGGCTTTCCGCAAAAACGGAAGCGTTATGAGCATTTTCGACTTAGAATGGCAACGTGTTAAGTTAGCGACACATAATTGTGGGGGAGATACCAAAAGGAATGGCCCGACATCTATCATTTTTATAATTTTGCGTGTTTATGGATATTTACAATTTTGACCATTCGTGGGGGAGGTACAAGAAGGAGTGGTCTGACATATCCCATCTTCACACCAGACCTTGGGTTAATAAAAAAATATTGTAATGTGTGTAATTTGAAGACAATCGGACTTTTACACATTCACATTTTAAGAGAGTTATAAACATTCAAAATGTTTACCCTATGTAGGGGAGGTACTTTATGGACCGAGTGGACCGATGTTGTCTATTTTCGCACCCGACCTAGCACTGATGCAAATTATTAGTATTAGCAAAGTTGGAGTAAAATCGAATTATTCTTCCTCTTTCTGTACAATAAATTATTTTCTTTGAAAATTTTGACATTTTGTGTGGGAGATACCAGAAGGAGTGGTCCGATATTGCCCATCTCCGAACTCGATCTAAGTTTGACAATAATATTACGATGTACTAAGTTTGGATCAAATCGGATACTCCCTTCGAGAGTTATCGTGCGCATCAGCCAGTCAGACATACAGACAGACGGATCGACATCGCTAGATCGACTCCAAATGTCGTGAGACAGATATATTTGATAGACAAATAGGATAGATTAGATACGAAAAAGACTCAATAGCGTTAACTTATACTCTAATTATTAAATTATTCATGATTGAAGAAATAATATCTCCAGATAAGATCGGGAGCCTTCCCGCGTAGACATTCGTGGTTAGAGCCTGTTTCTTTCCTTATCGTGTGTTATAAAAAGGATAATCGGTTATATTCATTTCATTGACAAAAAATTCTATTTATCCCGCACTGCCATAATACCTCTATAGAATATAACACGCCTCAAGGTAAATATTAAGGCTAGATTACACATCATGTTAGAGTCTAAGGTAATATTCCTTCAATTATCTGCAGCATACTTTTAGACACCTTCCATAATATTTATTCTAAAAACGTTACACGTTACGTTTTATGGTATAGTTTAAATTAATACAAATATACTAAAAGTATAGAGTAAATAAAATAAAAGTGCATTTATAGTAATGCGGAGTATATAGCATGGCATTTTTCAAAAAATTAAAATCCATTAAAAATTCTGTTAAAATCTTAAAAATACCGAACGTTGCCGTATATTAGGCTCTATACAACGACATGGACCTGCATACGCAACTTTTGTCATAAGCGTGCACAGACAATTCTCTGGCATAGGCTGTAGAAATAATTCCGGTAAATAATGTCGCTAAAATCATCAAAATACCGAATATCAGGGGGTACCATTATATGGGGGCTTTACAAAGACGTGGACCTGCACAGACAATTTTCTGTCACAGGCTGTAATATCCATTACGAACTTCAAATGCGAAATTTGAATCAATTCCGTTAAATAATGTCGCTAAAATCATCAAAATACGGAAAATCGGGGGGTACCGTTATATGGGTGCTATACGAAGACCTGCACAGACAATTTTCTGTCATAGGCTGTAGTATTCATTACGAACTTCAAATACGAAATTTGAATCAATTCCAGTAAATAATGTCGCTAAAATCATCAAAATATCGCATATCGGGAGGTACCGTTATATGGGGGCTATACGAAGATGTGGACCATTTTCAATACCAAAAGTCCTGCAGGCATAATACACATTTGAGTAAATTTTTATCAACTTACTTCATTTCGTTCGGAAGTTAGAGTGATTTCCACAGAAGGACAGACGGACGGACGGTTGTTAAATCGACATAGAATTTTAAGCTGATCAAGAATATATATTCTTTCTGGGGTCTAAAAAGTATATTGCGAGGTGTTACAAACGGAATGACAAACTTAATATACCCTCCATACTATGGTGGAGGGTATAAAAAAAACATTTAAATAATATTGACATATGAATGTTCCCAAGAATTGATGCATATACCTTTATTCTTCTACTATGGTATAACACTTCTTTTAAGTTTTATTTTTTTGAAGCTCCTAAAAGTATGCTACAAAAAAATAAAATTAAAATATGAAAAAGTCTCGTGTAGTTGGGTTTTTGGAATAATACTTAAATGTATTCAATATTTGCTCTGTCCTAGAATCTGCTAGTTTTTCAATTTTTTTTTTCGGTGTCATAAAGGAAATCTTAGTAAAAACTTTAGAATTCTTGCAGTTCTGGAACAGAGCAATTAAAAAAATATATATTTATTTTAAATCCCATAGTATTATAGATATTTATGTTGTTAATCATTTAAATAAGAAAAATAAAATGAAATTGGTTAAAAAAAAAAACAAAAAAAAAAAATACGGAACATAATTAAAATGAATAAATGTTTGATTGACAAACTAACTGTTATTTCTAGCAACTACTGAAATGTCCTGACACTCAGGACACACCTACGAATATGTGATGGGGAAAATGCAATGCCAAAAAACTATTTGATGGATGTGAATGAAAACCCCAATGGAGAGATGCAAAAAAAATGAATTGATTCTTCTTTTTTATTTCAATTAGTGGAATGGATGAATTAGCAGCAGCAGTGACAATAGAAGCCGGCCGGTGTGAAATGGAACATGATGAAGTTATGACGAGACGTTGTTAAAATCGATAAAGCGTACAATTCTTGTTGTATTAGTGAAAAAAAGGGAACAAATATTTAGAGAAAAAAACTTTAAATACCTTTTTTTGGTTATTAGAAGATAACGACGCTACAAGTCAGTTGTAGAAGTTTCGCAAAAGTAGAGGAAGATGTTGTGGATAACAGGAAGAAGAAAGGCACTTGTTTTGTTTTCTTTTTTAATATTTTAGACTTGTGATGTTGTGTTTTATTACAAGTTTAGAAAAATTATTAATCCAGAGAAGAAACAGAAAATCAAATTTTAATTAATTAAAAAAAAAACATAATTTTAGAAAAGAAAAAAAATTAAAAGAATATCGTAATTATAATTAACAATTTCACATTTTTTGTTTTGTTGTTGTTTCAATTTCAATTAGGCAACAATCAGACTTTTGGGGTTCTATGTTTTGTTGTTTTTGTTTGGGGGTGTGGGTGTGGATATGTTGGGGCGCTGTGTAAGAAATTAGACTACGCGATCATGTCCCAGTTAATTTCATCCGGCGTTGAATAGAGAACATCCATAAGACCTAGGCTGGTTGCATCACTTTGGAGCGTTTTGTTTAGTTTTGGCAGGAAGACGGATATTATTTTAAACAAATAACATTACACCACCCCACAAAACACACACAAAGCCGAAGAAAGTAGTTGTAGTTGTAAATGAACATACACACACAGATAAAAATTATAATAGTAAAGAAAGAGAAAGGGAGAAAAAAAAATCAAAACAATTAAATCAGTAAAAAAAGTTTGAAATTCGTTCTTAAACTCTAATTTTGATGTATGACCACCACTAGGAGGTAGGTAGGTAGAATAAGTAGAAGAACTAAGCTAAGCTAAGCCTATGCCACAAGCAATTAAAAAAAGAGTTACAAACAAAAGCAAAACTTAATTTAATTTACATTTTTTGTTTCCAAAAAAAGCCATAAACTACAAAATTCAAAGTATTGCCAGTATGTTTTTTAGGTGCGATCTGAGCTACATTATTTCTCTCTTCTCTATTAGATTTGGATTAGCAAAAATTAAATAACAAAAAACTAAATGCAAAAAAAATGTTTAGAAATAAAAATGGTGTTTGTTGTTGTTTTTTTTTTTTTTTCTTTTTGATTTTGTGTCAGTGGTGAAAATTGTGATTTTAGTTATTTGCCATGATTTGTATGTGGTTTTTTTGTTTTTGGTGACAGGATTGACATTGAAACTGAAATTTGTACTTACTTTCCCATTTGTATATCTTGTGGATGGGGCGATTGCATATTGTGCTGGGGTGTAACACCACCAAAGTTATTTTCAATGGCCGGTACATGAGCTCGTATGGTGTTTGTAACATAACCATCACGACGGGTGTTTTCATCTGCAAAAAGAGGAGGAGAGTGTTAGCTTAGGGTTTATAAAATAAAATAAGAAAAACAGAGATTGCAAAAGAACCCTGGAGAGTTAACATAAAACTAGCCAGAAAATAGAATAATAACAAATTAAAACCAGTAAAGAAAGTCCTGAAGTCGGGCGGGGCCGCCTTTATGATACCCTACACCACTTTGCTAATTTAGTAGAGCTCCGCATAACAATTAAAAGTTCTTATGGGAGAATTCAATCATACACGCTATGATTATGATTATAATTTAAAGTTCCAAGGACTAAATATGCCGAAACATTTGTATCTTTCAAATTCGGACTTGTATTGCCCATTTGGTGCACAATTAATTTGAAATCGGATAAAGATATATATGGGAGCTATATTCAAATCGGAATCGATCTCCATAAAATTTGGCAAATATATTTATGAGCTGTATTTGATATATTTCCCCGAATATCGTTGTTACGGAGTGCATATTACGGCTGTGGGTAACATATATAACAAATCGGATGAACAGTATATATGGGAGCTATAGTTATATTTAAACCGATCATCAACAAATTTGACATACTAGCTTCTAGACTCAATTCGGCCATCACATTTGGACAAATATTAGACGTTTGGTGCACAATAAAAGGCGAATCGTAAGCAGTTATATATGTGAGCTATATCTAAATCTGAACTGATCTCGATAAAATTTGGCAAAACTATTTCTGAGCTGTATTTGATACATTTCCCCAAATATTGTTGTTACAGAGAGCATATTACAGCTGCGGAGGACTAAAATAACAAATCGGATGAACAATATATATGGGAGCTATAGCTATATCTGAACCGATTTCAATCAAATTTGGCATACTTATTTTCAGGCCTAATTTGGTTGTATGTGCAAAATTCCATACTATTCGGGCTGATATTACACATTTGGTGCACAATAAAAGGCAAATCGGACGAAGATATATATGGGAGCTATATCTAATTTTTTACCGATTATCTCCAATTTCAATAGGGTTCGTCCTTGGGCCAAACAAATGTTGTGTGACAAATTTCATCTCAATCGGATAATAAATGCGACCTGCATTATGTTCACAAGAATGCATGGACAGACCGACGGAGAGACGGACTGGTATGCATAAATCAACTCAGAAAGTGATTCTATGAAGATCCTCAATTTTTTTTCGAATTGGTCACCTTTGGTACGAATTATGGCCTTCAAACGGTCAATGAAACCGTCGCACGCTGCCCGAATGTTGGTCTGCGGTATTTTTGCCCATTCCCGGCCAAGCGCTTGCTTGAGGTGATCGACACTTTAGATTTTTTTAGTGCCAACCTTGCTCCGGAGATTTTAGTGGCTATTGTGCGCTGGAAATAAAGCGAGGAACCTCATTTTGTAACCATTCTTGGGTGCTGAGTCCTGTTGGAATGTCCAAGGTCTGCGGCCAAAATGTTTGAGTGCCCAAGGCTTTAATACACCCTCCAGAATATTTTCGCGATAATGTTTGGCATTTATTCGATGCAAGATCGATTAATACGAGCGGGGAGCGACCATCGGCTGTTATGGCGACCCACACCATCACCATGGCAGGTGCTTGAATTATGGTGGCCAACCGAAGGTGCACATTTTCAGCTGACCTCTTTGGCAAGTAAACACAATCATTTTGTTTCTTTACAAACTACTGGACAACGCATGTTTTCTCATCGGAGAAAACCAAATTCGTCAGTTCACCACTTTCGGCCAAGCGAAGCAGCAACTCTTTTGTGTCTATTTTTTTTCTGCTGCGGTGTAAGTTCTTGCACTTTTTGGAATTTCAATGGCTTTACCCCGAGCTCTTTTTTTCAATATTTGCCGAATGGAATATTGCGATATGTTCTGCTCACGAGCCATTTTTCGGCCACTGTGATGCGGGTTTCGATCAAGTCATTTCTTTACTTTTCGAACCATTTCACCTGATGTTGCTGTTTTCTTCCGTCCATTTCCTTGAGCGAGGAACTACGCTACCAGTATCACGGTAACGAGAGATGGTACGAGACACAAACGATTTATTCACATTTATATGCTGGAATGCTCTAACGATAGCTACTTGTGGTTTTCCAGCCAAATATCGGAAGAAATCACACTATCACGCATGAATTACATCACGAATAACCTTTTTTCTTGAAAATTCTTATCAAAATGCTTTTGTACTCTTGTAAATAACAGCTTTCGGACGAGTGGCTTAGAAATGACAGCAGTCTGAAGTTGGTTGCGGTTTTTTCATCTCACCACGTATTACAACGTGCCAAACTTCCCATACCTTATATTAGATATTTGCCAATTTTTGGAAAATGTGGAAATATGCGTGTGGTACCAGTTATAGCGGACCGAAGTATTCCATTTTCATACTTCATCTAATACAGATAAAAATATTTGGTACGCGCAAAATTTGAAGGAAATAGAAATCATAAATTCCATATTCTTACCAGATTTCTGTTCTGAAATTGTAGATCTGCTCTGGAAGATCTAAGCCACAAATCCTATGAAGAATTGGTATCCACAGTCAAATTTGGCCAGTACTTTTAACTCTAAGAAATCCATCACTACTCTATTTCATTTAAGCAGATATAAAAATGACTTTGGTGGTCATTACTGACCTATAAATTGAGAAAAAACCGTGTCCATCTTTCTTTAAGATTAGAATATTATTTCAACTTCTCCAAAATGTTTTTATGATTTTTGAACAGCTATTTATGGATAGCTATTAGGCCTAGATTAGGCCTCCGTAAATTTCCTTAAAATATAAATATATATCCCCAACAACTTACCCATTCGTTGTGTATAAAATTCTTGAAAAGCTTCATCTCGCAAGCGATTTGTGGGATAAATATAGCGTAAAACATCTAAATCGTGTATACGATCGGCTAGGCCGCGTATATTCAGATCACGTGCAGTCCATGGTGACAGCATTAAAACAACATTTTGATCGTTGACGAAACCCACGGTTATGCCACCTAAGACGAAATGCAAAAAACAATTACAAATCAAAATCAAATGATCGCAAAACCCTCATTGTACTTACCCAATTCACTGTCCGAGAAACGTAACAAAAATGTACCACCCACCAGCTCTTTGAGTGTCCGTTCGGCTTTACCTTTATTAATGAAACCGACAATGAGACCAGCTTTCCATAAACTTAATAAATGATCTTTGGTTAGTTTCATAATGGCAAAGAACCAGTCCCAAAATGTAAACGAACGATCGGGCAGGGGTTCCTTACAGAATTGGGCCCAGGTTATGTAGTCTTCCTCGCCATTGATGATGTTGCGGCGGAAGAGTTTTTCATCTGGAAAAAAATATATAAAAAATATTAAACAATGAGTAACTGAATTCCAATAAAGAAAAATTGAATAGCAGTAAAGAGGAAAGCCGGAAGAGATCAATTTATTTGTGTATTTCTCTTTCGAGACGAGTTTCACAGAAAATATCAAATCTGATCATAAAGTTTGCCTCGAAAAAGAAATAAACAAATAAAATGAACTCGTCGTGTGAGAATCGTATATTTATTTCGCATTTTATGAGAGTTAGGCCCCTTTTGTGGGAGAGGTACCAGAAGGGTTGGGCCGATACCTATCATCTTCACACCAGATCTTGTGTAAGTAGAAATTATGAAATGTGCGAAGTCTAGAGACGCTATATTATGAGAGATATAGTTTTTTAAAAGATATGGACAAGGTACTAGAAGAAGTGGGCCGATATATCTCATCTTTACACCAGATATTTTGTTGGTTAAAATATTGAGATTTGCTGAAGACAATCGGGCTCATATGTCATATTTTGTGAGAGTTATAATTATTTAAAATGTTAACCTTCTGTTGATCAGGTACTTGATGGAGTAAACCGATATACTCCGTTTTCGTAACTGACTTAACACTGATAAAATATTGGAATTTTCGCTCAGAATTGGGCTATACTTTTTTGTCTCTACGGTAAATTACTTTCTGTGAAAATGTTGACTTTTTGTGGGAAGTTAGCAGAAAGGGTGGACCGATATTGCCCAACTCCCAATACGAACTAGGTTTGACAATAATATTACGATGTGCCAAGTTTGCCAGGCAGCGGACATACAGACTGACACCCCTAGATCGACTCCAAATGTCCTGAAACGGATTTGATCCAAAGAGACCTGGGCTCTAAACCTGTAATTTCGATGAAGCGTTTTGGGGTCGCATCGAACGATATGTACCACCTCTGTGGTCATATGGCTGAGGGAATAAAAATCACAGCTGAGTCTATCCATAACTTCCTTTCAAAACTTGATATTCCCATGTTGGCAGTAGAATCATCAATCCACACATTTCTGTGGCATCTGCTGAAAAACGAAATTACTTAAGGATTTGGAAAAAACGGGAATAAAAATCATTGCCCTAGTTGTCGGATCTCTTGGAGTTCAAGAGGCCCTTGTTTTTCACAGGGTAAAGAAAAGTTCCATAATTTTCATCTCCAAAATTAGGCAGCGTCGCATTGGGACTATCTACAGAGAGCCCAACTACCTTAGGAATAGTTTTCGACTACAAACTTAATTGGAAGAGAGATATGAAGGAAGGAGATGAAGGAGGAGAGATATATGGAAGAGAAGATGGAACGCGGAATGGGAGCAAAAGTCTTCAGCAATAAGGCCATTGATCTGCTGACTAAGAGAATCTGTGATCTTGACGGTCCGGTGACTATATACGTCAATAGTCAGTCGCTTCATATACCATCAAGGTTAAATCGTTTATCGAGCTTAACCGGGGTTCCTGTTCATCGCAATATATTCCACAACATTGAAGCTGCGGCTGAATCAGCAAGACGCGGATCAGAGTCAACCTACATGGATGTAGATCGCACGGTGAAGTCACCTCAACAACTTTCGAATGGTGTAGAAAAATTACTACTGGAATGTTCTACAAAACTGGATAAAGGGAAGGACGGATGCAAGGTCTCGAAGACAATTTAAAACACACTTTTGCGAAAGAGTCCAAGTCGTTTATCTTTATGGCGAAACATAAAACTTATGTTGGGATTTATAACAGGTCACTGTAAGATAAGGCAATTATTTAAAATAGGGGCTGCGATGATATCGACTACTTCAGGCTCTGTCAAGACGGGAATGAGGCTACCTGACGAACATTTGTTCTGCCCCTGCTTATGGGAAACAAACTTAACCCATGATCCCTCTCTTCATTCTCCACATTTATTTTTCAACTGGTCAGATCGAATTCGAAGATGGACAAATATCGATCCACTGCTTCTGGTAACTCCCCCACGAAATGTAAACATTTTTAAAGAAAGAGAAGGGATAATCCGATTTTCCTCCAACTTTGCAAATCCTAATATTTGCATCAGTGCTGGGTCAGATGCGAAAATGGACAATATCGGTCTACTCCATCAAATACCTCCTCCACAAACGCTTTTAAAATGTGATGTAAGAGTCCGATTGTCTTCAAATTACACACATCACACTATTTTTTATTAACCCATAGTCTGGTGTAATGATGAAAAATATCGGTCCACTTCTTCTGGTAACTTCCCCACAAAGGGTCAACATTTTGAATATCCACGAAGCTCATAAAACGCGAAATGAACATCCGATTACATTCAGACTTGGTAACACTATATATGTTGGAGGATGGAATATATCGGTTCACTCCTTCTGGTAATTCCCTCACATAGGATCAAAATTTTGAATATCCATGAAAATAATAAAACGCGAAATAAACATCCGATTCCATTCAGACTTAGTACATCTCAATATATCTATCAACACAAAATCTGTTTTAAAGATGGTAGAGATCGGACCATTCCTTCTGGTACCTCCTTCACAAGGGGTCAAGGTTTCGAATAACCAAAACGATTTTAAAATCCGAGATAAGCATCCGGTTCTCTTCATATTTCACACATCCCATTATTTTTACTAACACAAGGTCTGCTGTGAGGATGGGATATATTGGGCCACATCTCCTTGTACGAAAAGGAAGGTCGAAATTTAAAAAAAAAAAAACTCCTTCACAAAGGGTCATGGTCTGCTGTGAGGATGGGATGGTAGAGATCGGACTATTCCTTCTGGTACCTCCCCCACAAAGGGTCAAAGTTTTGAATAACCAAAACGATTATAAAATCCGAAATATGTATCCAATTCTGTTCATATTTCACACATCCCGTTATTTTTACTAACACAAGGTCTACTGTGAAGATGGGATATGTTGGTCCACCTCTCCTCTGGTACTTCCTCACAGAGGGTCAAAATTTTGAATATTTATGAAGTTCATAAAACGCAAAATTAACATCCGATTCCATTCAGACTTGGTACATCTTAATATTTCCATCAACACAAGATCTTTTATAAAGATGGTAGAGATCGGACCATTTCATCTGGTACCTTCCCCCCAAAGGGTCAAGGTTTCGAATAACCAAAACGATTTTAAAATCCGAGATAAGCATCCGGTTCTCTTCATATTTCACACATCCAATTATTTTTACTAACACAAGGTCTGCTGTGAGGATGGGATATAGTGGTAACTCCACTCCCTCACAAAGGGTCAAAATTTTCAATACCCATCAAGCTCATAAAACGCGAAATTGAAATCCGATTCCATGCAGACTCCGAAAATCTAAATATATCTATCAATACAAAATCTGTTATAAAGATGATAGAGATCGGACCTTTTCTTCTGATACCTCCCCCACATAGGGTTGAAGATTTGAAAAACAAAAAAAAAATATATATAAAATCCGAAATAAGCATTCGTTTTTCTTCATATTTCACACACCCCTTTTTTTACTAACACAAGGTCTGCTGTGAGGTTGGGATATATTGGTAACTCCCTCACAAAGAGTCAAAATTTTGAATATCCATGAAACTCATAAAGAGCGAAATTCAACGCTTGGTACATATCAATATTTCCATCATTACAAGATCTATTATAAAGATGATAGAGATCGGAAAACTCCTTTTGATACCTCCCACACATAGGGTTGATGATTTGAAAAACCAAAACAACTAAAAAATCCGAAATAAGCATCCGGGTTTCTTCATATTTCACACATCCCATTATTTCTATTAATACAAGATCTGCTGTGTAGATGGGATATATGGGTCCACCCCACCATTAGGCTTCCAAACGAAGCAGTAGCCCTCCTTTAAATCTAATCGATACTTACGCAAAAAATTCAAGTTATCTTCGGTTAGGGCACGACCAGTTGACGACTCAAATTTGGTATTCAATGCCATGGCGAGTTGGGTCCACGCCACACGTTCGGGCACTTGGAAAGGTTCACGTACAATATCCGAAAAGGCATTATCCCAAGTGATGGTGGCCCATGACTGTGGCTCCTGATTGCCGTGGACAATGACCACAACCGGCAATGACAATGTCCAGACCTGTTGGTGGGTGGGGGAGATTAATTTGTAATTAAAAAATATATTTATTTCTCTGTGTTCGATTATACTTACCCTAATTCTATAATCATTGACTACGACTGATGTGTAAAATAATAAAGCAAACTTCTCGTCCATGACACTTTCGGTGCCCTTTTTCTCGGCACGTTTTATTTTCTTCAATTGCATTGTTCTGTAAAAATAGAATTCGTGAAATTTAGTGTAAAGGCAAAATGAGGAAAAACAAATTATGGACGACACTGATGATATGCTCTCCGGCCCCGGCCTTGGCTTTTTCACAAGAATCCAACTTATTACAGACCAACCCCCATCTCCCACTGCACAGTCAAACAATGAAAGGTATTGCAGCATGTAATGAATTTGTGGGAGGGTGGGAGGAAATGGCGCCAGAGGGGAATGGCATGGAGATTTATCTTTGGCTTAATTTGTACATACCTGAAACTGGCAGAAAATACACGCGTCTGGTTATTGTATTCCATGTTGCCAACATTGTTCACAATTTCACCGGATGAGGCTGGTGTGCTGCTGGATGAGTCAGGCATTGTTCGCTGTGCGGAATGACGTTGAGCCTGAGCCTCTGCGGGATAGGAAAAAAACAACAACAAATAACTATTAGTGTTTTGTAACGTACATAGTGTGTTCATGATGTTTTAATGGAGAGAGGGAGAGAGAGAGAGTGTGTGTGTGTGTGTGGGAGGAATATTTACAGCATGCCATTACTTTGTAAACAGAGATGTAAAACACCAATGATAACAGAGCAACAACAACAACGATAATGATGCTGATGTTGATTGACTTTGCAATTTCTACATCAAAAATAATTGAAGAGTTAACATGTTTTGTTGTTCGTAATTGGAAGGTTTTGGTATGGGAGCGGTGTGGAAACTGGTAGTGATGGCTGGGATAATTAGTCCTTGGGCATAATGTAGAAAGCCGAAAGGTTAATCAACATGTTGGAAGGTTGGTTAACCCTCCATCATGTATTCAAAAACCAGTAAAGAAAGTCCTAAAGTCGGGCGGGTCGACTTTTTGATACCCTACACCACCTTGCTAATTTAGTAGAGCTCCACATAACAATTAAAAGATTTTATGGGAGAATTCAATCATACACGCTATGATTATAATTATAATTTAAAGTTCAAAGGACTAAATATGCCGAATATCTTTTAAATTCGGACTTGTATTGCCCATTTGGTGCAAAATTAATTTGAAATCAGATAATTGATATATTTTCCCAAATATTGTTGTTACAGGGTGCATATTACGGCTGTGGAGGACAAAAATAACAAATCGGATGAACAATATATATGGGAGCTATAGCTATATCTAAACCGATTTCGATCAAATCTGGCATACTTATTTTCAGGCCTAATTTGATATATTTCCCTGAATATCGTTGTTACGGAGTGCATATTACGTCTGTGGGTAACCAATACTACAAATCGGATGAACAATATATATGACATATTAGCTTCTATACTCAATTCGGTCGTAAGTGCCAAATTCCATCCCATTTGAACAATTACTAGACGTTTGGTGCACAATAAAAGGTAAATCGGACGAAGTTATATATGGGAGATATTTCCAAATCTGAATCGATCTCGATAAAATTTAGCAAAGGTATTTCTGAGCTGTATTTGATATATTTCCCCAAATATTGTTGTTGCAGGGCGCATATTACGGCTGCGGAGGAAAAAATAACAAATCGGATGAACAATATATATGGGAGCTATAGCTATATTTAAACCGATCTTCACCAAATTTGACATACTAGCTTCTAGACTCAATTCGGTCGTAAGTGCCAAATTTCATCCCATTTGGATAAATACTAGACTTTTGGTGCACAATAAAAGATAATCGGACGAAGTTATATATGGGAGCTATATCCAAATCTGAACTGATCTCGATAAAATTTAGCAAAGCGATTTCTGAGTTGTATTTGTTACAATTCTCCAAATATTGTTGTCACATAGTGCATATTACGGCTGCGGAGGACAAAAATAACAAATCGGATGAACAATATATATGGGAGCTATATCTGAACCGATTTCGATCAAATTTGGCATACTTATTTTCAGGTCTAATTTGGTCGTATGTGCAAAATTCCATACTATTCGGGCTGATATTAGACGTTTGGTGCACAGGTAAAGGCAAATCGGACGAACATATATATGGGAGCTATATCTAAATTTTGACCGGTTATCTCCAATTTCGATAGGGTTCGTCCTTGGACCAAACAAATGATTTGTGCAAAATTTCAACTGGATAGGGCAATAAATGCGAACTGTACTTTGTTTACAAAAATACATGAACAGACGGACGGACATGCATAAATCGACTCAGAATGTGATTCTATGCAGATCATCTAAAGGAACTATGGGTCTATCTCGTTTCCTTTTGCCTGTTACAAACAAATGCACAAAGACATAATACCCTGACTACCTTGTGGTGTAGGGTATAAAATATATATCGGAGCCGGGTTCCACAAAATAGAAAAGTACTTCCCGAAATTCACTCCATTTGAGCTGATCTGAATTATTATTTGCACAATAAACCTGAAGTCAGATTAAGGATATATCCAAACCTTAGCCATTCTCTATAAAATTTAGCAAAAGTGTTTCCGAGCTTTATAAGATATCTGGTACTAAATATCATTTTTGTCGAATACAAGTTATGAATGTGAGAGACTTAAACACCAAATCGGATAAAACATATGTATGGCCGCTATAGCTATATCTGAACCGATTTTCTCCAACTTTGGTGTACTTGCTTCTAGACTAAATTCGGTCGGATGTACCAAAATTCAGGACTTTTTGGCAGATATAGGCCATTTGGTGCACAGTTAACACGAAATCGGTGGAAGATATATATGCGACCAATATCCAAATCTGAACCGATCTCGATAAAATTTGACAGAGGTATTTTCGAGCAGTATCAGATGCCCGATACCAAATATCATTCTTGTAGAGTGCATATTACGCATGTGAAGGACTTAAAACCCCAAATCGGATGAAACATATATATGGGAGCTATAGCTATATCTGAACCAATTTTCTCCAACTTTGATGTACTTGCTTCTAGACTGAATTCGGTCGGATGTACCAAAATTCTGGTCATTTGGATTGATATTCGACATTTGGTGCACAATTAACCCGAAATCGGTTGAAGATATATATTTGGGAGCTATATCCAAATCAGATCTGATTTTCACCAATTTCGGTTGCTGTTGTTGTAGCAGTAGTACATGCAAGTGTTTGCATTCGGCTAATCTGGTTCCAGCTCCAGGTTTAGAAATTCGGCTACTTTAATGGGGCTGTAGCCAGAGATCTTCTGGAGTGAGTTGGGTAGGGGTTTGGCTGTGCAATTAAAGAGGTGCAGCGTATTGTGCGGGCCTGTATCCGTCGGGCAGATGTCACGCACATCTTCATCAATTCGTGTCCAATTGCGCCAAAACTACCATGGTTTGTCTAGGCAGCTGACATTCTTCAGCTGCAATGGATGGGGGAGGGGGCTGTACTCCGAGGACGGCATTCATTTTATAATTGATAATAGCATCTGCGACTGCGTCTGTATGAAAGCCCCTCAGACCTTCCTGATAGGCTTCTTGATCTAGAGGTTCTCTCTTGTAGCGCTGGACCCAACCATCATATGGTGGATAAATCTCCTCCACCCAGGCGTGTCAGGAAGGACATACATGATCTAGAGAGCTCCCTCTCTCTAGCCTCCGCCTGGGTGGAGGAGATTTATCCACCATATGATGATTGGGATGACTCTCACGGTAATACCCAAGAAGGTACTGCAACGAAAGCATAAGGAAAGGACTTTCGCCTCCTCATGTAGATGGTCCCACCGGAGCGGGTTCTACGATACCGGATTGACCCGAAAACACAACAAGATCCCAGTTTCAACCAGCCGCTGCCAACCCAGTATGTACATGATTATGTACCAATTTCGGTAGGGTTCGTCCTTGGGCCAAACAAATATTGTTTGGAAAAAATTTTCGTCTTAATCGGATAATAAATGCGACCTCACAAAATACCTGGACAGATGGAGGGACGGATGGCCTGCCATGCATAAATCGACTCAGAAAGCGATTTCATAAAGATCCGCAAATGTAACTATGGGTCTGCCTCGCGCTTCCTTCTCCATGTTACAAACAAATGCACAAAGACATAATACCCTTATGTGGTGTAGGATATAATTCAATTCTTCAACCAAATCCATTAAACCACCCTCGTATAACTCCAATGACAACCCTACAGTGCGTACATATGATTACAACAATACCAACAACACAATAATCGCTTTTACTATTGAACTTGTCCATGGCAAATGAAGTCATAATAGGTTGCTAACCAAACCTTAATAGTTTCAAATGGGGAAGCTAGTAGCAGCAGCAGTAGAACCCAGACACACACATACACACACATAGTTAGCCCTGCCACAAAAAGTTAAATGAGAGTGAAAATAATGTGTGGCATGATGCGGTGCCGATTCCGTGGTGTGGTGAGGTAAGGCGCAAGTGCAGTGGTTGGTTATAGGTTGATGTGGTTACAACCGATTGAATGCCACACACTGGCATTTTTGCATATTCTAATGGCAAATAGATGCATTTCCGGGAATCTGTTGCCATGTGTAATTTCCAAAGCAAAATGGAAATGAGTTTTGCAAAAAAAGAGAGAGAGAGAGAATAGTAAATATCAGCGTTGTCGTCGCCAACGTCAAAGAGAGGGGGCCAGAGACGACTTGCTGGCTGGCTGGCTGACTGGCTGGAGATGCAGTGGCAGATCTCAAAATAAATTATTAATTTATGCGAACAATTTAGTTGAAATTGTGCACTATTGTTGTTGTTGCTGTTGTTGCTGCTGCTACAATATTTTGTAACGTTTAAATGGAAGCGAAAAATGCAAACGTTTAATTATCAATAGTGAATAAATAAAAGCAGCAGTTTTGTTATACCAATTAATTTACATTAAAGTACACAATTAAATTATTAATTTGAAAGAGAGAAAAATTAACAAAAAACCAGGGGGGAAAAATTAATGGGAAAATGCATTAAATTATTTAAATATTAGAGCGTTTTTTTTCTGTCGTTAACAGAAAACGCATCAATTGACAAACATTTTAATTATTATTTTATTAAATAAATACTAGTTGTAGAATAATGGAAGTATTTAATTACTCTTTAAAATTAATTAAATTTGGAGCATAGAGAATTTAATGTGAGTGACAAACACAGACGCCCACATAGGCTTTTGTTATGTGTTGTATTAGGAATCTGGATAAATGTAGGAATATACACATTTTTATACCCTCCACCATACTATGGAGGGTGACTTTGTCATTCCGTTTGTAACTCCTCGAAATACTCATGACAGACCCAACAAAGTATATATATTATTGATCAACGTAAAATTCTAAGTCGATTTAGCCATGTCCGTCTGTCTGTCTGTCTGACCGTCTGTCTGTTGTAATCACGCTATCTTTCGATCGAATTGAGATAGAAGGCTAAAATTTCGCACACATGTTTATTTTTCCAGTAGGCAGGATAAGTTTGTAAATGGGCCATGTAGGTCC